ACTCAGTGTTAAATACCTGTGTATTCTTTTCAAGCATCTTTGTTTGTATTTAACTCTTTCATTACCGTGCTTATTTAAAACGATCACCAGTGATGAATGGTTCGGTTCGTCTATTTTGGCATGTTAAATTTGTTTCTCGTGGACCCAGCACTTTCTAGTAGTTAGTCCAGCCACTCAACTTTCAGAATCAATTTGAATTTGCCCGTTTTGGGCAACATAGTGGTTTTTTAAAGATATTTGCACAAACCAGGGTGCGTGTGTTGTTGGAAAATGCACTGGGCTGGCGAACTTGACAAATGTGCATGCCCCTCGAGATTATGCTAGAGTAGCATTGAAGGTCCATAATCAAAAGAGCCTTTGCAAGCAAAATATCAAATCAAATAGTCAGCTTCGCAATTTGACAGTGTTGAGTAGTAATAATTGCCGGTAATTTATGCCAGCTATTCAATAAAAAGCTGTTGCTGGGAGTCTGGCAAAATAATTCTAAAAAAATGTTTTCGAAGGTCCATCACATGTTTAAAGTATTGAGGTAGCCTTCTCAGCCAGTTTCTAGCAGTTTTAGTTTCACTTGTATCGTTATGTCAGACACAGGGTCGCATCTAGTGTCACTAGTCGATCCTCTCGATCATTTAATGTCACTAGTCATCGTCATGTGCGCATGGGCACGCACCAGCACTTCAAAACACACGCACCACTCGAAACTGCCTTGCAACCCCACCTGAACTGATAAGGACGAGCTTAGAGTCCGAGGGTGACAGAACGCCAGCTTCAAGCTTTGTAGCGATGATGTTTTGTGCCAGCCTGAGACATCCGCAGCCGTTCATGGGTTTGTTTTGTTTACAGATCAAGTTGTGTTCTCCATCGCAAGTGTGTAGCTACCTTTGTGACGATCTTATAGCCACTGTGGTTACGTTCGACACTACGCTGGGGCTCGGTCTGTGGCGCTGGCTGCAGAGCTTCTCCTCACGACAAGGAGGCCACCGGAGCACATCTTGGCCCTGACTATAGAGCAGCGCGAAACGTTTTGGAACTTCATACTGTATCCTTTCTTTAATACGATGTGCAAACTTCTAAGAAATATGCTCGCATGCATATATAGGAACGCCAACCTATGCTGAAAGAAGTAGCTCATGGAAAGAGGTTATGCTAGACAAAATAACGAAGCTCATTGGACATCTTGTTTATAGAAGCATTATTTTCATCACGGATATACATCTATAATTGAACACCTGGAAGCTTTTATAGCAAAAAAAAATTTTTTTTAATGTGTACGAGCTTGCTTGTGTCTCAAGAAAAACCAAGCAATGCTTCACAGCATAGCACGAGCTACGAAGCAGCACCTTGGTTCCAATTTTCTTTGTTTATGTGAATAGAAACATTTCCTATTATTGTTTATCGTGGTCCTGGGCCATTTATCTTCAAAATGTATATATTTGAATTTTCTTTATTTTGAATATTTTTGCATTTTACTGTTTTCTATTGCACTTTTCACCAGCTGGCCACCAAAATTTACATACTTTTCACAATTTTCTTCATTCTAAAATATATTCGGTGTTCTGCAAGATATATTTTTTCGAAAAAGCATTACACCCTGTAAAATTTGGTTTGCTGCAATGCATCCTAGAGTGCTTTTCATACTGACAAAACAATATTCTCGAGACATACGAAAAATGGCCATTTTCGCGCATATGTAGAGCCGTGACACAGTTGTTCTTTAGCATTCATCCTGTGCATGTTATTTTCGTACGTCCTTTGTGCTTAAGCGAAGCACTGTGCGTAGCGAGTTGCTTGCTGTTATTTGTGTAACATTGTTGCTATTACTTTCACTGCTTCGCCCTCGCCACAAAACTTGCTGTTTTTTTTTCCACGTGCAGTTCTGCAAAACAAAACCCCGTGTGCCCCTACCACATTACTGCTCTTCAAATGGCGAGTTTGACAGGTTCACTAGCCGATCCACCCATGTTTAGGAGGCCACAATGTTGATATGAGAGTGCACTGCTCAGGGAATTCAAGGATTTTCAAGGACGAGAAAAACTTTCAAGGGCCTTGAAAACGGATTTTGCTAATTCATGGGTTTCCACGGATTTGAAGGATTTGTACACACCCTGCTTACTTCAGTCACTTGCAAAGCATTCAAGCATATTAATAACAGAACATATACTCAGCCTTCTAGATCAGAACACTTTGCTGTACCCTTGCCAACATGATTTCCCAACCGGGCTATCAACCGTTATGCAGTTAATAGAAATAATTCACGATTTTTGCGCTTCTGTAGATATAAGACAACAGGTTGATGTGGTTTGCATGGATTTCACAAAAGCATCTAATAAAGTACCCATAGCCATTTAATCTTCAAATTATGTGATGCTTTAAATGAGCCAGTAATAAAATAGATTGAAGCATATTTAACAAACCATACACAGTTAGGAAAACTGGATGGTCATTTATCAGATCCTTTAGCTTTGCTTTCAGGAGTGCCCCAAAGCTCAGTACTGGGACCACTATTGTTTCTCCACTATATCAATGATATCAGTAGCGCAGCAGAAGAGGGTGTTCAGCTGAAACTTTTTGCAGATGACTGCTTAATTTACGCCACAATTACCAAGCTAGAGACCAACTCAAAATTTATAATATTTTGCAAAATTTAGATGATTGGTGTAGGAAATGGAGAATGGCAATGAATTATTCCAAATATTCCTATATACACATCATCAAAAGGAAAACTATTCATTCATATTCGCACAGCATTGGTGGACACTTGTTGGTATATGCTCACCAGTTAAAGTACCTCGCGGTAACAATTACACGAAACAGACGACAAAAACAGACGACAGTGTGAGTGCTCACACATTCGTCTGTTTTTCCCCCTTCTTGACTGTATAGTACCTTTCCTTCATGCTCAAACTGAGTTTCGCTAAATCCATATCATTTTACCCCTTCGTCCTTTGTCCCCCCCCCCCCCCCCCCCCGCTATTCTGAGCACCTTGCATTGCCATACGAGGCCCGTGTTTTCACACTGCCACCGATCTTTCGAGGACCGGTCCGCCATCTCCCCTGTTTTTGATCGCTGGTACTGTCGGTGTCGCCATCATGGAGTGACCACACCATTTGCCAACATCATCGGCCATCGACTGTATCTGATCGTCTGCGTCTAGTGCATGCGCGTACGCTACCCCACCGATTCCGATAATTCGCGATTCGTTTTGTGTTTAGGACCTGTTCTCGCTCACTTCGCACTCTGCTCAGCATGCCCTCCGCACGTGTGCGGAAGCACGAGAATGGCTGTTAATTTGCGCCAAACGAATCACGAAATATCGAAGTCGGTGAGGCCACACAAATCTGCCGGTGCAACAAACCACTTTTTGACCACGGCCACCGAACACCGCCGCGCACGTCGATCCAGGAGGCTGTGCTTTGACCTCTGCATGTGTAGGCATTCTTTCAAGATTTATTACGGGCGAGCGGCGCGTTTCGCGGACCTTTCAAGCAAGCTACTTGACCTGCCTTCTTCCCGCGTGTTTCGGTTTTCAGAGTCGCCCTCCCGCGGTATCCTCCCCTCTCTTCCCTCTATCGCAACTCCTTGCCCTTCTCTCGCAAATCGGCTCTCCTCTCTTGACCACAACCCCTTCACCCGTCTCCACCACTGCGCAATGCCAGGCACGCTGGCTCGAATTCAGAAGTTTCGTTTTCTGACTAGAAACGGGCCGAGAGCTGTTCCACGCATTCTGGCATGTGTGTCGCTTGTGCACGCTTTGCTCGCTCTTGGTGTTTGTGTGTGGTCAAGATGGCAGACGGGAGGACTTGCACGCTTTTTCCTGCCGCTCAACAAAACGGAGAAAGTGTTACCACTTGGCTTGGGAGTAATCCGCGCATTAGGTGCCGCGTTGCAGAGCGCTTGCTCATAGCTGTTGACCACCTGGCAGACAACTTGCCACTTTGGGCGTCCCAGTATTCAGCTGTGGAGATGGTCAATATTTCGTGGGCGACGGTGACGGCTACATGCGCGCGAGACTGTTTTCGTGAGGCCGACTTCGTCGGCTTCGGGCCTGATGCCGAGCCTAACGCTTCTTAACTGGACCAATGTGGCGGCGATTTGTGAAAGAGCGCCGTAGACTCTGACATGAGAGAGCAAGTGGGACATCTGTTGCAATGGTTTAATTACGGCCGATGATGATGCCGACACCGCGAAACCGTGCACAGATTAAGGCATTGTGAATGAAGTACGTGGCAAGAGTGATTTGCAGGAATTGGATGGAGAGAACGACGAAACTTTGGAGCCAGTGCCTTGTGCAGCTTATGCCACGGGCCTCGGCGAATGAGCACGCTGCCGTTTGAAATAAACTCGAGACCGCCCTTATCGCTTCTGCCCTTCTAAACACGTACATCACGGACTTTTTTGGGCAAAAAAAGGTTTGTGTTTTCACTCACAACTTTTTTAAAAGCTGTGTTTCATTTACTACGAACTTCGGGATACAGCGAACAAATGCCGCGTCAGGCTCAGGTTCGTTATAAGTGGGCTCGACTAATATGTCATTGTATTGTCCTCTCTGTTATAACCCTCCATGAAGGTTGACAGTATAAAAATAAAAACTGACATGTTGAGCATACAAATTGGCATATCTTCCAACAGGCTCTACTTGTGGTAGTTGGATGAACTTGTCAGTGACAGCAGGTCCAATAAGTTTATACCCTCACTACAACCACCCTCTCTAAACCTGCACTTCCCCAGCATAGCAGGGAGGGATTGTTCTCGAGGGCTTGATCCAACTACGCACTCAACACAGAGTGGAAGCAATTTGTTGCAGTGCAATCAAACAGAAATGCAAAACAATTTCAAAGCACGGTATTCCTTCAAACCACTGTGATCCTTAGGTCATCTGGTGCTCAGGAGCTAGTCAGCCACGCGAAGTGGTTGAATTCTGAGAATAAGTGCTAATAGATGCAGTAGCTCATGCTTGATACCACAGTCATCACAGAAAGAGCCCAACTTTGCAAACACTGTAAGGATTGGCAGGGAGGCTTAATTATCGAGAATTGAATTTGATGCCATCAGCAAGCGAATACCTCTGTATCAGGTCTACACATTTAGGTTCACCCAAGCGAGCCAATTGTCCTTGTTCATCCAGCCTTTTTATTTTATCAATGCCACCAATGAAATCTCCATTGACAAACAATAGTGGGTAATTGGAAGCTCCCTTCTTTGCCAAATGCTCAAGGAGCTCTGAAACAAAAGAAACATGTGCAAGCGAATGAGAAAAAAAAAACAGCATAACCACCAATATCTATAAATTAAGGTTGAAAATGAAACTCATGCACATCAATTAAGAGTTAAATAATCCACATCATACTTTGATTCACAGAGCCCTTGGTTTAAGTCACATTGCGGAATATTTACTTGAGCACGTACATCAAAGCCTACATCACAGCTAAGTGACCAGATTCGTAGCAACATGACATGGTTACGTTTAGCAATTGAATGTACCAGCTGTCTTGTTCATTCTATGAGCAGCATACACTTACAAAATTAACCAAAGTATTGTTTTATAACATGAGATGCTGTACATTGTAATTTCACTGGTAGCATTATGAAAGAAATAACAAGTAGGTGTTTTAGGGCAAATTTTTAAAGCTTTCATGTAGTAACAAATGTGGTACATTGTGCATATATTTCGTGCATGAAAGAAAACAACTAAAAAGATAAACTTTGGCATAAATTAAGAGGGAGACGAGTCTTGGAGCTGTAAAATCATGGAAAAAATGAATTTTCTGAAAATATTATTTTTGTGACATACAGGCATTGCTGCAAGAGCTGACTAAGTTCCTCGAATTTCTTATATTTTGATTCCAACAACAATTTAGAACACCAAGGCAAGCTATACTTCAACTGAGAAAAAAACAAAACATGGTTTCTTTTAATGCCATGCTGCTTCTTTATGATGAATGCTGCAACAACAGGCATAAACGTAAACATTTCTGACAGCAATCTGTCTGGCTGGGTAGAAAAGTTTAGAAAATTGAAATTGCTCCAGCCACAGTTCAAATAGAGTCCGACGTTTCGAGACCGACTCGGTCCCTTCCTCAGGGGGTGACTGTCTTGGTCATGGAAGTGTCGTCGCGTCGTGTTCTCTCACCACGGCTCCGGCTTTCCCTTTCCACCACGTTTCGGAGACCGTGAACGTACACCGAAGGCATTGTTCCCAGCGAGCGGTTCACGTTGGCAGGCATATGCTGAATGTGCCAAGACTCGAGCAAGAGCCTCTTTCCCAAATTCCGTTCTGTTTCAATAACAGAAGCGCCGTCTAAGTCAATTTTATGGTCGTGCTTCTCGCAGTGCTCCGCCAGAGCGCTACGTTGCACTTCCATCTTCCCGACGTCGTTCTTGTGTTGGCGCATTCTTTCCGGGAAACACTTGCTCTCGCCTATGTAGCAGGCTGGACACCCAGAACACGACACTTTGTAGACAACGCCCGGGTGTAGCTCCCTCGGAGGTCGGTCTTTCGGCCGCGGTAGCAAGCGAGCGAGCGTCGAAACAGGTTTATGGATTACCGTGACCCCGGCTTTTCCTAGGACTCTCGAGAGCTGTTCACTTATGCCCGGCACATATGGAATGGCGACACAATTGTTTGGCGCCTTCGTTTTTCTCGTGTGCTGTGGTGTGGCCAGAGCGGAAAGGGGGTCGGGCGGTGTGTCGCTTGCAGGTGTCTTTCCGCGGTGCGGTGGTTGTCGTCTCGACAAACGGCGTGACGCCCGGCGGATGAACGCTTCTGTGTAGCCATTCCCTCGTAGCTCGGCGACAATCCTCTTTTCTTCTTTCTTCCTCTCAGGGTGAGACGCAGTCTCACCCTGAGAGGGTGAGAGGAAGAAAGAAGAAAAGAGGATTGTCGCCGAGCTACGAGGGAATGGCTACACAGAAGCGTTCATCCGCCGGGCGTCACGCCGTTTGTCGAGACGACAACCACCGCACCGCGGAAAGACACCTGCAAGCGACACACCGCCCGACCCACTTTCCGCCCTGGCCACACCACAGCACACGAGAAAAACGAAGGCGCCAAACAACCGCGTCGCCATTCCATATGTGCCGGGCATAAGTGAACAGCTCTCGAGAGTCCTAGGAAAAGCCGGGGTCACGGTAATCCATAAACCTGTTTCGACGCTCGCTCGCTTGCTACCGCGGCCGAAAGACCGACCTCCGAGGGAGCTACACCCGGGCGTTGTCTACAAAGTGTCGTGTTCTCGGTGTCCAGCCTTCTACATAGGCGAGAGCAAGTGTTTCCCGGAAAGAATGCGCCAACACAAGAACGACGTCAGGAAGATGGAAGTGCAACGTAGCGCTCTGGCGGAGCACTGCGAGAAGCACGACCATAAAATTGACTTAGACGGCGCTTCTGTTATTGAAACAGAACGGAATTTGGGAAAGAGGCTCTTGCTCGAGTCTTGGCACATTCAGCATACGCCTGCCAACGTGAACCGCTCGCTGGGAACAATGCCTTCGGTGTACGTTCACGGTCTCCGAAACGTGGTGGAAAGGAAAAGCCGGAGCCGTGGTGAGAGAACACGACGCGACGACACTTCCATGACCAAGACAGTCACCCCCTGAGGAAGGGACCGAGTCGGTCTCGAAACGTCGGACTCTATTTGAACTGTGGCTGGAGCAATTTCAATTTTCTAAACAACAGGCATGCAGACTATGCCCCCTCTAACTAATATAACATACCTATTGTGTGTAGAAAGTGTGAGCCTTCTGCTTTAAATATTTCATATGAAAGGATGGAAATGTGATCTACAGATTGTGCTACATTATTTTTGTCCTATGTCTGAGTCTCCCCTCCCAAATGAATGAACATGCACGCACGCACACACACATACACACACCACAAACACACACACACACAGTGAAATCCTGAGCACGTCTCTCACCTCTTCCCACCATTTTGTCAAGCTGTTCTGTGCTACAGAAACTTGCAGCAGTGATTCCTAGGAACACAAGCTTGGAGAGTCCTTAGATATCAGCATGACTTCTTAGTACTTCTACAGTGTGGTGCCTTGAGGTTGCATTTTGAGTTGTCACATATTGTTGGAACATTTGAAGGACGTCTTTCCCCCCTTTTCATCCCACATGAAATTTCACATGAGGATACACTAAAACAGTAAATGCATGCACGTCCGATAAAGCATTTCATTAGAAGCACAGGTGTGCATTTTTCTTAGAGGCTTTTTTGCCACCATTTTAAATTTCGGTCCATGACAAAGCAAGGCCCTCCTTCCACAATATTGTACAATTATCTTTTACCGTAAGGGGGGCATTTGCTCAGGACTTTACGGTGTGTGTGTGTGTGTATGTGTGGGCACGTGCGTGCGCGTGCATACACACACACACACACACAGTGGTAAGGTGAACTTATGTTGAATACCAATGGCGGAGTCGGAGCAAGTTTTTCTGCTCCTCTTGAAGCAAGTGTGTTTTAATAGCAGAGTGAGGGTGGGAGTCAAGTGTTTTAATGAGAGTCGGACTAGACTCAAAGAAGGAGTGACTTCGAGGAGCAGGAAGTTGCTCTAACGAAATTGGCGAAGTGAACTGGAACTCGAAATAACGTACTCCCTTTAACACATTCGCCTGCTTGGGGGGTGCCGCTGTAGTCACGTGTTTTGACTGTAATGGTGGACAACATGGCTGACTGGAGAAATCATGCAGAATTGCTTTTTCTGTTCGATAGCTCCATGTCAGAGAGCTACAGTTTCTGCACAAGCGGTTCATCGGATAGTGACAGCGACACTGAAACTACTGTAGGAGCGATAATTCAACAGAATTCAAAAGTAGAATTAGTGGAACCAAATTACTACACACAAGGTATTCCGGGCAATTTAAAGACTTCTGCTTCCGCCTTGCTCTCCATGCTTGCTCCGGCAGCGCGAATAGTATTCCAATTGCGGATTTGGAGGCGTTGCTATGCACCAGAGTCGAGCGCTGAGTACATCAGCTGCTCCAACTCTGCCATTGGAATTCAACATCAAGTTGCAATCATTCGTAAAAAATACTTATACTCCATCTGCAGCACGAAAAGACCACCCTGTCAGTCTTTACATGGGAGATGCTTGTTACTCACTAAGCACGTCCTGCAGGACAAAGTTTTTGCCATCCAGTCCAGTATGAAAACTAGAAAACTATTTGTCCAATACAATCAGGTCAGTTCTCAAGAATGCACAGCTTGCAGATAGTGCCCCAATGTGGGAGAAATGTCTAAGCCCAACTTTGTTTTTGCCACCATAAAAACTTCCTCATAAATTTCAATAATTTATTAGGAATGTCGACTAAGCATCAATGGCTGTTTTTCACTAAAACCAGCCATAGGCAAATGACATTTCATTTATCTCAGTAGCCAGCACAGCAGATCACAGGACTACAGCCCTACATGTAAAATTTATGCACCATATTACGTGTACACTTCTGAGCGTTAAACTGCATGATGTGCAGGTTCGGGTGCACGTTAAAGAACCCCAGGTGGTCAAAATTTCCAGAACCCTCCACTACTGCGTGTCTCATAATCATATGGTGGTTTTAGGACGTTAAAACCACACATATCAATCAATCATCAATCAAACTGCATGATGTGTGCGCTATTCAAATTTTCACTCCTGTGACTTTTGACACCCCAGTATTTAGTACAGCATCTGAAGGATGAGAGCCAATGCAAAAAAAAAGCTTCCCCCTACCTTCCCCCTGTTACGAAAAAAGCTAGGATACAGAAGTGCCTTACGCTGTCGAAGTACCGAATCTGTGGCCACGTCAAAATACTGAAACTCAAGGCCAGCTTCTCGTAGCAAAGTCACTGCCTCTGAGCTGTCACCTGCAAAAAAAAGAAGAATATTCCATAAAAGGTGCTTAGAGGATGGACACTTCTGCCACCACACCATACCTTTAGCAGGTGAACTTTTGCTTCCTTCTATGAAACGCACATAAGGAGCTTGGGCTGTAATGGCCTGCAGCCTCTGCATTAGCTTCTAGAGGGTTAAAGAGAAAATTCCTCAGAAAAAAAAAAAAAACGATCTCAAGTCCAAGTGTAAAGGCTAGTTACAAGTACAACATACAGTCATGTACAAGTTAGATACAAATAAGTAAAAACTAACTCAATGAATTCTTTCATTTCTGCTTTCAGAATGACATCTCTCAAGCTTAACTACTTACAAGGCTGACATTACTTCCTCAATGTCACTAGTTAAGTTACTATAGACCACATATTTTACTAATTTAACTAAGTGAATCAAATTGCAAAGTACACCTTTTAATAGAATTCATGATTTGCACACATTTCATATGTAAACATACTTTGAAGTATGTTATACATAAAACTCGTGAATAATAAAGAACTTATTCAATTTTTCATAGCTTTTTTTAGTTTTGCAATTTCTAATCTGGTTATATTTAGTTTCCCATTGGACGGGGAAGAATGACTGGCCTCTCGCGCAAGATTTACATTTAGTTATACACCTAGAAGTTTTTCATTACCAAAGCTGTTCTAAAATAATCTGCTCTAGCTTTGTAACTATTCCAAGTTTTTAACAATGCATTCAATGTTAAGTAGTATGTACTCTGCAACAAGCATGGAAAAAAATTAGACACTGAGTGCAGTAAAAATATGTTATTGAACTTTATAGTATGCTTAAACCTCATGAATTCAACTCCCATTAATTTGGAAAATCAGATATCTCACATTCATATTTGCATTCACATTTTCAAATATTAGTACATGTCAGTGGTCTGTCTAGGTAAACTTTCAAAGGTTTTCTCTTGTTTGTGCTGTTTTCATCATGTGCATGAATAAGTGAAAGAATCATTGATGCAATGCATTGTCTAATGAACCTGGAAGCTATTAGTGTTGCTCAATTGCAGGGGAAGAAATCATGCACAGTGCTTTCTTCCTAAGCACCCACATAGCAGTGAGCATATACCGAATCAGTGCACACAGTTTTAGAACAGACAACACAATAGTAGCTCTAGACTTAAAGACATCACAATAGGCATGCCATAATGGCAGTTGAAGATTCGCTCACAGATAGTAACGTAAAAGTTAAATTTTCAGTTCAACCCTGCTATAAGCGATGTCTTTAATGCCATCATATCGGCCACCCAGCCCCCAGTGACACTGTTAAACTGAGAATATTACGGCAAATGGCCTCTGGCCCATGGCCCCTCTTACATGTGTGCTTTTAAGAAATGCGAAATTCCACTCACCCGGTCATCCTCACTAGCAGCAACTGGCGGCATTTCCACACGAATTTTCAGTGCCTTCAGCTTACCCACCAGTTCCATCATTTTCACGCCTTCTACTCTGTCAACATCCTTTCCATTCTGGATTTGGATAAGAGGCAGAAATCAGCACAAATCATGTGTATGTTGCAATGCTTTAGGCATGTATCATCTTGCTACTTTAACTAGTCACGTTTTTAACAAACTAGCATTAATACTTAGTAGGCAGCTTTTCTACAACGCAAAATTTAAAGCTGACTGGTAGTATAGCCCACCCTTACTGCCGTTTTTTCCTGTTGTTACTGACGCTTACCTCACTAGATTATAACGCACCTTAGCTGGGACAAAAAAAAAAAAAAGTCATCACGATCACTGCCTCTGTGCCTCTCATTTAGTACAATTTTGCTGCATTTTAACTAAGCATGCCAAAGTATGCACAAATTAGAGATTTTACTGTGCCAACACCAATAGGCAGACTGTTACCTCAGAACAAGACCAAATAAGCCATGCAGTGTCCCAATGATGACTTACCACAAAAATCATTTGAGTGTTGCATTCAATCTGTATAATAATGTACTCTGTCTAAAAAAATAGTTCTTTCAATCTCTTGGAGACAGTACAAAAGTTTAAAACTGGCTTTGCTAACAAGCATGAGAACACAGAGCTTAACAATGATAATGACCACCAGAGACCGAAATTTTAAATATATGCTAAAGTGATGACCTTGCTTGAACAGAGAAGCAAAATATTGATGAACTTTAGTATCTCATTGTAATCATAATATGGGCTCGCGTGCACGTGCACGTGCACACACACACACACACACATAACAAAAGATTCACTCCTAAATGTACAATCGACAATGCTTACTAAAGTGAGAAGTGTCATCGATTCAAATGCTTTAAGTGAGTGCTTGTAGTGTATGTGTCATCATACTCTATTGTTGCCCACCTTTCTTTCTCATTGTAGTTTCTTTCTTACACTCTCTTCACTTGTATGAAAGTAAAACTTTTTTGCCACATTTGCTATCTTCATACAACATAGCAAGTCATGTTTAGGTCCTTCTGATACTAGATTTTTGATGGTATAGAGTACTTTACATAAAACCATGCATAAAGGTTATGAAACACTTCATTTACAACATTTATTTCTTATTTGAAGTCTTACATTAGAATTAAAAACTACCAGACAATACTGTTAATCACAATCTAAATGTAGTATAGTTACACAAACACAGGCAGAAGTTTTGGGCACAGCCGTTGCACCAGCATGGTCCCATTACAAGTCTTAAAGATCATGCAAAAGCTTTAAATGTGCATGATGTGTCATATGCATGTATGCTGCCCCCGTGAATAATTAATGCACTGTCTGAAAAGTGCAATGCTAACCTTTGCTATCACTATCGATGCTCCACTCTTTAAAGCACCTTTCACCAGGTCCGGCTATCTTGAACTGATAAGCCTAATGCACACTCACGATTGTGTCTGCCAAGAGTTATACCCCTGTCACACTGCAGGAATTAATGTCATTAGGTTTAAATGCCATTTGGTGCAACGAATCTCCTTCGGTTAGTGGTCGTGCTACACAGGAAAAAGTAATGCCACTTGATTGTGATGTTAATGTCGATAGTTCAGAAAAAAAAAAAATGTCAATAAAGTTGAGAAGGTAAATGTAGGGTGGTATAAAAGTAATGTTATTAATTTTAAAAGACATGCGGGAAGACGCTTCACTGAGTAAACATGCATAGATATTTTATATCGCAAAATATATGACCACTATAAGAAGCGTCGTAAAGGCAGGAAAGTGACAACGAGCACGTGCTTGAAGAAAGGCAGTAGGCGTTCAACCATAGTAATCCAAATGAGGCGTTTGTCGTCGGCGCCGGAGTTGCTTTGCATGTGTCCTTGCATGCGTCCAAGCTGCCAGATGGAGAGAAAAAGAAGGGTGCGTTGGGCCAAAATGCAGACAGAAAGAAGCGGGCAGTCAACCTTCTGTAGTTCTATCCTCGGCACATTTGATGGGACAGGTGAGCGCATGGTTGCTGGCTCACAAGAAGTAGCCGAGCGAGGGAAACAATGCAGGTCGCCAGCAAGGAGCTCAGCGGGGATCCGAGGCGAAGCAAATAGGTTTTGCAATTGTTCTCTCCCCCGTTCGCCAAGGAAGGCCCACAGAGCTCGACCGCCACACGTTGGTCTCAAAATTAAAAACCGTGAGCATTTTAAAAAGGTACCCAGCGGACTTGTTTGTTTTGTTTTGAAGTTTTACTGTTTTGGTTTGTAACAGTTCAAGTATCTCGGCTACTAGATAGCACTTGCGTAACAAGTACCAGGTTTTGTTTATTTCTTAAGCTTTGCTTAAGAAATAAAGCTAAGCTAATAAGCATAGCCTAATAAAGCTAAGCTAATAAAGCAACCGCACAGCGCTTAGCTGTGCGGTTGCAAGACACGCCTAGAGCGTTTGTCGACTAGGAGCGACGTTAGAGACAGATTTTTAGTGAGCATGGAGCCGCAAGGAGTATTTTCAGGATTGATACAAAAGTTTTTTGTTGTTATTTTTTGTTTTGTTTGCATGTGTATGGTGTGGCTGAAAGAAATTGAGTTAGTTGGTTCGGAAATTATTGTGTAGCTTTTATGAAGACGGTAACCGCCAGGCAGAATTAGTAGTTAATCCACACAGGAGCGCTATAGCGTGTGATTTCGGACGTGTAATGAGGAAGTCCTGTACTCGTGCAGCATGACAGTTATCTCTTTGTCAGCTCAAAGGAGACTGACGACTAGCTTTGGCAGCACGAAATTTTGGAGACAAAAAGACAGTGTGAAGCAAAAGGCTTTATTTTAGGAGTAAGAGGCCTGGTAGGTTACAGCAGATTACTAACGCTGGCACACAAGTATGCCATGGAGAGCGCATCGATTGGGTGTTTATTTTCTAGAAAGCAGTTTAGGAGAAGATTATTTTCATGTTAAAATTGGGAGCTTGAGGAAAAGCTCAGAGAGATGCTTCGATTGCTGCTTTGCGTTTAATTATTATACTTAAGGAAGGTTGGTTTTAAAACATTTTCAGACTCGATGTGTCTCAAGTGTGAGCAGGGTGCTCTCCCGTGTCTGTGGTTGTGTGTATGTCTGTGTAATCCCAGGGAAGAAAGGCCCATGGAAGATTGAAGATTGCCGTATTGCGTTATCGGCAGTGGCCTAGATGACGCCACCAAACAATGACGCTTCGGGCAACCTGTCCGGCTGATCACTCTCAGGTCTATTTTCCCGCCGGTAAACGAGCTGTTGCGTATAGCGGGCCACCCTTTTGGCACGGTTGCCAGAACGGAAAAAAGGCAGCCACCTCATTTTGTGGAGATAAGGAGCAGCGCCAAGACGCCCTGCTGTTTCCATGTGCTGGGCGCTGCGTGGCTGAAATCACTCTACGGAGCACCGCTGTCCTTCGGGTCCATGCAGAGATGTGATACGTGGCATCTTTGTGCCCCGGTAAAAGCCACAATGCCGAGCTTCCGCCGATTACGGATGTCGGACCATCACGCTGTGCGTCTTTGACTGATGAGCCAGCGACGCTCAAATCAGCACCAGATGTCCAGGCATGGCCCCTCGGCGGCGCCTAGACCCTGACTGCCATTTGACAAAGCACGGGTGGTCGGCCCAAGCGGCGAGACGACAGACTCATTTCACCTCGCTCAAGCAAGATTCGCCGAAGGAGGCAGCATCGCTGGGACCAAACACGTGTATGGTTTGTGTATGTGCGTTTGTTGGGTGCGGTGCCGGCATAATGACACTCGTGTGTGCTGTGAGATATGTTATTGGACAGTGCCGTATAGACCTGTTTTCCGATCTAGAGATCTGGGGAGATGAAAGTGTATTTCATCAGCCCTCGCGGGCTGCTTAATGTGGTTCACAGAGCTTGTTCAATAGACAGCCTTTTTTTTCAATCTAGAGCTTTAAATGTAGAGCTTCGGGCCAGAGAGCCTGTGCCATGTAAATAATCTAAATAAGCCCTCTCTACGAAGTTCAACCTCCTCCTGCCTCGACATCTTGATCCCGGATTTCCAGTGCCGCAAACCCCGGTCGCAACAGTGGTTATGAAGTGATATGCAGAATTCCTAGGGTAGAATGCTCTCTATTGGGGACATGACTTCCAATGCTAAAGCTTGCTATTTCTTGTGAGGGGTCCTTTAAGCAATAAAAACCAATTTTCAATTTACATCACCATCCTTAGATTATACCTTTATTCTTCGTTCAATGCACAACTCTGCATTCCTAAGGTTAAGGAGAAGAATCACAATAAATATAGCCCTCCTTAAAAGTTGGACAGCATTTACTTCAAATTTCAACAATTTCAACCTACCAGAAGGATGACGAATGTCGGCACTGAGGTGACTTTATACTTCAGGCTTACATCCTTGGCTTGCTCAGCTTCCACCTGTGCAAAAAGTAATGTATGCTTCTGAAAATGTACATAATCAGGATAAGCAAGGCCGAAAAAAAAGTATTCAAATTGAAAATACATAATCCGGCAAAACGTATGACGGCAAATTAGCCTTCTCAGCACATACACTGCTGCTATAATGCACGTATAGGCACATATTTTTTTATAAAAGTATTTCCAGGAACCTTTACCTTGCAGAAACTCGTCAGCGCCAGATCTGGATCTTTCTCAAGATCGGGCAATAAATCATCCACCTGTTTACACTGAGGCGACCAGCTCGCATGGAAATACAGGGCGAGCAACTTGTCCCTAAGAAAGAGAAATAAGTGTTGCATGTAAAGTAGAGGCAAGATATTTCATGGCGGTCGGTTGAACAAAGATGTGAGGACTGTCACAAGAGAATCAGCAGCCTAGAGCACTATATGGGCCCGGGCTTGGGCCTGAGCCAGGCCCGAATTAGGCCCACACTTCATACGTATCGGTATAATGACGTGAGTATGCTCTTTTACATTCTTTTGTGGGTATAACGTAGTGATGCGACACGTACTATTTGAAATGCTGTATATTTATTTTATTTTTACGTACTGCAGTCTCACTTAGGCTATTGCAGAAGTGGAAAAAAACAAAAACAGAAACAAAGCAACATTCTTGAACAGGCTTCTAAAAATTCTTGAAGTGATAGCGAATGAACCCTTCTGGGCAGCATATTCCAGGCTTCTATAGTTGACGGGAAAAAGCTGTGTTTGAACATGTCAGTGTGGGTGAAAAAAGTTCTACGCATATCTCGGGGAAACATTTCGAGTTTGCAGCTATGCTCTCACGCCTGCCGCTCCTGTTTCTAGCTGCGCGACTCCGTAGACTGCTAGACACGACTAGTGAGTCATTAATATATCAGAAACTGTTTTTCGTGAAGTGCATGATGTGGAGCCACTTATCCCAGATGCGCCAATCAATGTAAATGTTCCCGACTTGTGTTACGAGGCAGCTTCATACATGTAGCATCTGGTACTTAGCCAATAATACTAACTTGAATTCCCATCGTATAGACCTTATTTTTTGGGTATTTTCATGGCCTCCATCTCTGCCATATTTTGCCAGTTATTCATAAGTGTACTAATTTGCCAAAACGCAAGTGCATGGCCTTAAAAACGTAAAAACGCTCCCACAGCGAAAGTGAGCGAAAGCTCTAGAGTAGGTAATTACGATAATTTGCTGCTGTACCCTTTGTAACATGGAGGTGTACTTTCACGGCTGTATCGCCACATTTTATTGCATAAATTCTTAAAGGCTCCAGTGACACCCTGTACTGAGAATTTTTTTCATTCTTCCCCTTGCTTCTACTGTTTTTGGATATCAACAGAAAAGTAAAACGCATCAAAAGTAGTGACATGATCCCCATCTCTTATAAAATTTTTATATATACAAGATGTACATGCCTAGCTAACCTCTGCTTGGTGTCTGCAGAGGTGCAAATTGCTTGCATCGCAAAGTTTCGCAAGCTGTATAGTTGCTGCATTATTGGGACCGCGTGCACTGCATACCGTATATTTGTTAAAAATTCTAATATCTGTCGCTTGGCTCATCGAAGTGTGTGTGACGGACACATGGCTTTAATTTTCTAAGCATTCCTTTGCGTTCTGCAGGCACTATTAGCTATCTATCTATCTATCTCTCACATATGGGTGCTCGCATGACGACCCAATTAACTTAGGGTAAACCAAAATTAATATGGGAGGGTAAGATGATGTGACAATTATGACTAGTTATTCACAAAATGAGAATACCGTCGCGCACGTCGTCAAACCTCTCCCGCCAGACAAGTTTGGCACAGAGCCATGTACGATAGGTCGGTAAGTGCCACAGGTATGCGGCAAAATTGCGACTCAGCCACTGGAATATATTTGTGTTGAAGTTTTTGCACCCGTTAATGCTTCTCATCTTTTTGCGCAAACACGCGGGGACAAACTTCAAGATGAACAGATATGTGGGTATATGCCACAGGCGATTGACAGTTTATATCTACCTAGGAACAGTGAGAATAGGTATAAGTAATCTAAACGCGAGAGCACTAAGAGCTGACATTGGCAGCTCTTAGTGCAGTCAGGCTGATGATGATGAACAATTAAGCATTCCAAAACCGTACGCATTTACGCAACATTCACCCCCCCTCCCCCACTGTGATATATGTATTTGGGTTTCCCCCAGGGGAATATGTGGGAGGAAATTTTTTTTTATTCCATTATGCAATGAACGAAATTTGCAGAAGACTTGCTACATTAACTCAATAGCCACAGCTCATATGTGCTTTATACAGAGTCAAGAGTATAAATGATGCCTAGCGTTTTCCCACTTCATTATACTCTGCAGTCTTTGAAACGCAAAATTAAGGTAGCGTTGTTAGCACTGCATAGATGACAGAGCCAGCTACGACTCGAAATTTATTTGACATTGCTTTAAAATTATTTCGCGAAAGTGTTACAGGTGTAATTAACCTGAAATGTACACAGAAACGGTTAAAGTTGTGGCCCTGAAAGAAGTTCTCAAAACCCTCTTTAGAAGTTAACTTGTGCGCTGCACGTATCTACACAATAACCAAAGATTTGACAGTGCTTCGTTTATGCTAAAGGCATATTTGGCTGAAACGGGCCGGGCCCGTGCCGGAAACATCGGCCCGTGCGGTGCTCTAGGGCAGCCTCTTGGGTAATGACTACGACGGCCTAATGAGGAGACAGTGTGTAAACGGCTCACAATAAAACTCTCTCTCTCTGGCGTCCACGGTTCTGTTTGGCGTTGCACAAGTCGTTGCCAGACTTAGGGTACACTGTACTTGGAAGGGGGGGGGGGGGGGGGTAATTGTTGCCCGACTGCTGCCAAATTCAACAAAGAAATTTATTTTTGTAGTTGTGCTTTTTCCGTGAGGGCTCTGTGTCGTCAGCGGTGCATTTTGCGAGTGCGTGTGCGACGTTGGACGGAATGAACGGGGCGTTGCTGAAAACATCGCACACGCACTCGCAAAAAATGCACCGCGGGCGGCACAGAGCCCTCTTGGAGAAGGCACAATTCAGCAACGCACCGTTCATTCCGTCCAACGTCGCACACGCACTAGCAAATGCACCACGGACGACACAGAGTCCTCACGGAGAAGGCACAACTACAGGGGCAAATTATCTGTGAAATTTGGCAGCAGCTGGAAATTCTGAACCACCAAGTCTGGCAACGACTTATGCAACGCCGAACAGAACCCTCGCCAGATCGCTGTGAGACAACTTACTTCGCTTCGGTAATCGCATCCTGAAGTTCTTCAGCGGTTGATATCGCACTGTGAACGGGCATCGTTTTGAGGTTCGTTTTGAGGGGCCAAGTAAAACAAATAATTTTGCAAATATCACGCCTCCACAAATATTCTCAGAGCGTTCTTCACTGCCTCGAAACACGCGTCCATGCACGCAAGCACAAATTCAACTGCGAGACGATAGTTTATAGCGCGAGAACAAAACGCCGACACAGATACAAGAAGGACACGAAATGTCCGCCGATAATTCGGCAGGCAAGGAAAATTTAGGAGGCGTTGTATTTAGGGGCCTTGACCGATGGACGGATTAAGTAGAGTAATGTGGCTGTATCCTTTAGATTGGGCGGCGGCTAACACCATCTAGCCGTGATACTTATTGAACCACCAAGTAGATTTATCTTATTTTTTTTTCCTTTATATAGAGAAGTATAGGACTGGTACTTTGCAGTGAATGGTTTAATTTTCACTCGTGCCTTGACTTTAGCCACCAATTAGATAACCTACTTTGAGTTAATTCTACCCGCTTAAAGTCTCTTTGCCCTCCCTGTCTCTAAACCCTAGAAGTGTGGCAGCTTGGGCTAGTTGGTATGGCATGACGATAGTTATAGCGCGAGAACAAAACGACGACACAGAGACAAGAAGGACACGAAAGACACGAGCGCTACGTGTATTTCGTGTCCTTCTTGTCTCTGTGTCGTCGTTTTGTTCTCGCGCTATAACTATCGTCATGCTAAACCCTAGTGCTGTGTCCTTGTCTCTGTGTCGTCGTTTTGTTCTCGCGCTATAACTATCGTCATGCCATACCAACTAGCCCAAACTGCCATACTTCAACTGCGAGATTCAGCCAGAGCACACCAGCCGTAAGGTCCCAAGATTAAACAAGAAACAAGTTTATTTTGTTTCAACGCCTCATCTAGGAAGATGCCTGCCGCACAAGAAAAAAGAAACAGCTGCCACACTCTTTTCTCCTTCATTTTAAAATTGTTCTCGGTCGCTAGCGTCACCTGTGGCGGACGGTGCAACAACGCAACACTTTGCATAGCCTCCGAAACAGTTATGCACAGTTGCAGGTCTCGTACAACTCTTGACTGACGCACCCCCACGGAGGAAGGAAAGGTGCGATCCACGACTCCTTTATAGAGGAGGTCGTGGTGCGATCCCTATGGGCCGCAGATGAAAAACACTTAGCTTTACCAACGTTTCGAGAACTAGGTAAGTTGCAAAACTGAGCGGTGTTGCGCGGCGCCGCCGCTGCCAGCGACAAATGTGGCGCTGCTGTCGCATCCAGATTCACTCACAGCATGCTCGCTCGTGCCATTCCCGTAACCTTCATCGCCTGTGCATGTTGCAGTGCGTCGATATCTATGGAGGCTTCTTTCTGCGTGAACAGTTTTGTGCTTAAGCGTGCCTGCTTGTATGTTTGCGTGTTTTCATCATGCCCAGATGTTGCGTTCCCGGCTGTAGAGTAGCTACAGTAAATGAGAGACACCACAACATTTCTTTTGTACCCACGTGTACATTAGCAGCGAGAAGTATGGGACCACGCTATTCCTCGTGCTGATAAGAAACTGCCTAGCACCTCACGTGTGTGTGATATGCACTTTCACGAGAAGGACATCTTGCAGACTTTCACTCACGTCATATGGTAAGAAGTACAATCGCCAGAGCAAAGTGGGAGCTTGTCGAAGGATGTGTTGCACGAATATTCCCGAATTTTGCCCGCTTACCGTTGTCGCGGGGCCCGCGAAGCGAAAGCTGCCCCGATATGAGTGGGTATTTTTCCAGAATATCATCGGCGAAAAAGAATAGACTATCTCCGAACACTGAGTTCGAAGACCGTGAAATAAGTCCCGACATGCCGTCAACTAGTGGCGTCATTGCGCTTCAAGACAGAAAACGTTGTTTGCCTGCTGCATGCTGGTGGAAAGTTGTTGAGAATGGCGAGACAAGTCGTCTTGTGGTGTTTCTAGTGCTAAAAAAAAGCGCCATTTGTGGAGAAATGTGTTGTCGCAGAAGACATGACAGTCACCAATCGCTTGGCCAAGTCGCCGGGCAATGCAGATACCATCACCCAATTGACCGAACTTCTGGGGGACATAAAAAAGCTGAAAGTGTGTTCATGTTGTCCAGTGCGTCAGCAGGCAGACTCCTGAGTAATGACTACGAAGGGCTCACCGATACCCCAAAGTGCGGTCTCTGCTCGAAGCTTTGGCTGAAGCTGTGTTAACAGGTTTCATTAGAGGAACTCAAGAAGAAGCAGAGGGAATACATGCTCAAGATAATGGCCGCACGCGTAGCCTTTCGACTGTCTAAGTTGCTAAAGGATGTGACTGACCTGAAAAAAAAAAAGCTGTTCACATGACCAGGCAAAAGCCACGAGATGTCCCACTTTGGATCATAGCCATGCACTGTCAAGCTGAAAAATCTGCGAAACGGAACACATTCATTTACTTAGCTTGCAAAGACTACTAAAGGGCATTCGACTCGGTAGAGATACCAGCAGTCTTAGAGTAGCTAGTGCATAATGCATGCATGAATACCCGAGCCAACATCTACAGAGAGTCCACATCAGAGAGACAGACAGACAATGATCTTATTAAGGTCTTGAGGGGCGACTAGAAAAGGTCCCTTTATGGGGAAGGAGCTGTCGCAGAGCAGAAAAGTTTTATTCATGAAGTGGATCTGGCAAAGAGACGAAATCTGAGCAATATTTACAGCATGCTTAGCAGGAGTATTTGAGCCACCATGTTGATAAGAAAGACGAATAAAGATTTACAAAGAATATCTCGGTACTTACGCTTTGCAAATGACATTTTGCTTTTCAGCAGTGGTGCCGTTGAACTACAATGAACTGAGGGTCTTAACCAAGAAAGTGTTCAAGTAGGGTTACAGATAAATAAGTAAAGACAAGGATCTAATGTTAGGAGATCAAACAAGAGAGTTCGCAACGGCACACTAGAATCCTTACAATATATATGTATTTAGGTCAGATAGTCACAGGACACACTACTCATGAAAAGGAAATTCACCAAACAACATGGATGGGCTAAGCTTTAATGGCAGACATTCCCAAATCATAAAAGGCAATTTACAACTGTCCCTAAAGCTGAAGTGGTCAACTATTGTATGCTGCGAGTTTTTACTATCATTCAAGTTCTGCACCTATGTGCAGAAACTTGAATGATAGTAAAAAAAAAGAAGAAAAAAGAAAAGTCCAGACGACCAATAACTATGCAAATAGAAACAGAAAAATATTTAGCATAACTTGGGAAGTAAAAACAGAAAAAAATATAGACTTAGACCGAGGAAGATACGACACCGCGCTGAACTCGCAACTAAACTTTGTTGGAAGGACACACGCCCACATATAGCAAGCATTCGACTTGATCACGTGGCAAACGAAAGGCGTCTGTCATCAAAGCAAACAAGGTACGAAACAAGCCGATCATATTGAACATCAACACGTGTGTAACACCAAGAAAAAAACAAAAAACACACCTTCATACTTGCCAAAAACATACGCAACAGTCCATAAGAAACTAACCATCACTTTAACATGCAGCGCTGAAACCCAGGTACCGAACTTCCTTTTCACCAAGGGACACGGACGGCTTACTTACACAACGTTCTCCCTCCTTTTCAATAAAAAAGCCTCCATTACTTCCTTAGTGCACTTGTCCCTATGTCCAAAGCATAACATAGAGATACTAAAAAGCAGAGCTCGATGGAGAATAAACAGGGCTAGATGACATTCTAGCTGACACAAGAAAAAAAAAAAGGTGGACCTGGGCAGGTCAAGCAACGTGAGGGAGAGACAAGTGAACAGTTAGAGAGATTGTGTGGCTACGAAAAGATGGGAAAAATAGCTGAGAAAGGGAAAAGGCTAGATGGATGATGAATTGAAAAATTTGCGCGCAAGCTGACAGGTATCAAATGAAGGATACAAACATTTTTAGTACATACTGTGAATGAAATGCAAAAGTTATTTTTTCTATGAGCTCATTTAGCAAGAATGCAAAAAAGTGAAGGTACACCTGTAATTTGGAAGCATAGTAAACAAATAGTGGATTAAGAAAAATAGGCTAATGAGTCTATTAATGTAAAAAAATGGGCAGATCCCACGTACAGTGGTAATCGATGATATGTGAAACACGAATGAGGAAGGTTGATATGTTGCTTAAATTCAGAAAAACGTTACAAAGTGGATGTAAATTATATTGAACATGACTTCCATGTCACGATTATTATGTTTGGACATGTCATTTACCTTCATCGTCTATTCATGTCACGTGATACCAAATTGGTATATGTGGAGCTAGAGAAACGGCCACGAGCGCGCTATGAGCATAGCATGAAGTGATGTTTTGCATGAAATTAATATCATGATTAACATGTGTAGACATGTCAGTTACATTCATAGTGCATTCACGTTACATAATTACAAAATTTGTTATATGTGAAGCCAGCAATTTGGCCACGATTGTAACATGAGCGTGCTATGAAGTTATTTTTATCACGTTTGCACCAGTCATATACCTTCATCATCCATTGATGTCTCGTAACACCAATTTGGTGTATATGAAGCTAGAAAAACGACCAAAGAGCACTATGAGCATAGCATGTAGTCGTGTTTTACATGACGTTCATGTCACGATTTCCTCGTTAGGCTCTGTCACTTATGTTTGCCATGCAGTCATGTCATACCATAGCAGTTTTGCAATATGTCATGTGAACTAAACCACCACAAAAGCAGCGAGACCATGAAATGTAAATCATGACATTCATGTAATGATTTTCATGTTATGACTAGTCACTTATGTTCGTCATACAGTCATGTTACGCTATACCTATTTCGGTATTGATACTGTGGGCATTTAGTATATCAATCCCCTTCATCTGTACATTATCATCATTATCTTGTGTTGCTCATGCATCCTCATCGTTGTCACGTAGCATCATCATCTTGGTTCGTTCATCTCAGCTGTCGGCTGCCGGCTCCTCGGGCCTAATAAAGGTCTTCCAAACCAAGACTTCATACGCGGTGGAGCGTGCTGTTAGATTCCTCGTCATCCTCTCGACCACTCTACCCCTGGAGCTACGTTCAGGTCGCCGCTTGGGCCAGGTGTCCGGAAATATGTCGCACAAGAAGAGGTCGGTGCTGCAACCGTTCCCACTCCGCCACCGCGTGCCGCGCCTTTTCACGTCATTAACAGCCTCCAGCGTGAGCCCCATCCCTTCGCTGGTATGCGCGGGGAAGATGTGGAGGAATGGCTGGACGATTTAGAACGTGTCGGCGCTGCTAAC